TATATACTTTTATTTTATACAAACAGATTAGATCAGATTATTCTAGGGTTTGGGCTGCATGTGGAAACTATAAAAGTTGCATGAAATGTTTTCACTTCAAGATAGATTATAATATATCTACCTTGTAGAATTTCTTCTTTAACATGTTGTTTGATTTTCCCTATATATCTCAAGTATTTATGTAGCAGTAGAGTTTATGTTTTATATTTAAGTAATGATTAAGTAGAGTATTAGGGGTATGGGATAATTACTGCAATTCATTCTTCTAAATGAAATGTGTTATTCAAATGTAGGTTGGATCTAAATTCCTGGGCTTGCCACTTTTTTTCCTCTCTCTGAAAATGTTAAGAAACATAAAGTCCATTAATTCAAATTCTTGAAGATAAAAATACGTGGGCAATGTGTAGGTTTTGGTTAGAGTGTCTTTGTGTCCCTATTAGGGTGGTTAGCTGTGTAGTGAAAGGCATGGTTGCAAAGTCTCTACCATGGGCCTGAAATATTTTAAGACTTTGAAAGTGCTCATAAAGGCACAAGAGGAAATGTTATCAAGGTTTTAAAGAGTGCCTTTAAGAAGGCAGCAGGAAACTGGGCATATCTATGGCACAGTAAAATCTACCCTACTTTATGGGGTGCTGAGTTAACGTAGATTTAAACTTAATAAAGGAATATCATAGCAGACAGGAATTTATGCTGGAGCAATTAGTATGACTTTACCCAAGGCAACTGAAAACATTTACTATAATTAACTTTAGTTAATAAAATATTAAATTGTGCCTACAAAGTAATTATAGCATTTTATCCTTTATAGTTTACAAAGCAAGAAATTCACAGCATTTGAAATAAAAAGTCTCTACATCCTTCACTATTTAGACAAGGAAATTGGGGCTCGGGGAACTTAATTACCTTGGCAAAAGTCATGTAACTGCATAGAAACAAGAGGCAGGGCTTAAACTCAGGAGGACTGAGAGTAAGTGTTAATTTCATATCACTGTCTGACAATGACTCCTGGCAAGACTTCCAAAAGAGAGCCTGTGAGATATAAGCCGGAGGCTCTCGGTGAGTGTTGGAGGAATGGACAAGGAATGGATAAAAAGGGCAGGAAAAGCCTGTACAATGACCTGATGAAAGTCCTGGAGATTTTGGCTTTCCAGCCACCTTCCCAACGTGCAGAAATTGTAGCAAGGGGTGAAGGAATGGAGGAGAATTATTTTCCAAGAGATGAAGATAAATTATTTCATTGTTTAAGAGATCCAGAGGCAACTTTGCTGTTATTTTTATAACTGCTTCTTTAAATTTACTTAGTAAAAACTGTCCATTCTCACTTTGTTTTCCAAAATCTCTTTAAAAATAATAGTAATTAGACCTCAGGGTTGCTGAAATTGCTTCTACCTGTGGGAAATTTGTTGGAAAGACGATTTCCTTTCTAAATTTATGCTACTTAGTTAAATACAATTTAAAGTTAGTCTTTTTAGGAATTCAACACAGCGTGAGCAATGGTTTTATTAACGGCAGTAAGAGAACTTTTTTCCATAAAACTGCTTTATTTGACAGAATGACTTGTTGCAAGTGTGCTTGTCTACAGATAAGAGTCAGACCCCTGTATTCTATCAGAGCCATTGTTACTGTGGTCATTTTAAACATTTTGCATTGGTTTAAAAGGAAAACTTTTTTCCCATGTAAATGTATTAAAACTATTAAATTTTACTTTATATAAATATAGCAATCATTTTACAAAATCAAATTGTAGAACATTTTCTTAAAGTCTGTAAATTTACTTTAATATTGAAACTAATTATAGATTCACAGAAGCATAAATCGTAACATTTTAATTAAAATGTTAAGAAAACTATTTGAAAGAAGAAAGATTAAAGTTATTTAAAAGTTTAACTTGAAAATAAACAGAATAAATGAAAGATTGTTAGTATGGCTTAAAATCAGTGAACTTGAAGTATCTATGTAGGTGGTGTTTGGCATTGTAGCATTTATATGTGTTCTTGTACATTTTAGGTTCAAAATTGTGAAAATGTGTGTATTTTTAAGATGCCTAAAAAACTATTAAAGAATCTAAATGTTTTCCTTATAAAACAAAATATAGGTAATATATAACTAAATAATTTGTTTTAAAATCTAATGGCATTTACATTTATGTTTACTATATATGTACATATTTTTTCTACTAAGTCACAATTGAAACTAAGTCACAATTGAAAAACTAAATGTAGCATTTATTCTCAAAATATAATGTGATGCTTATGGATTTTGAAGTACAGAGCTATAATTCTGTAAAAAAAAATTTAAAAAAATGCAAAACCAAAAGTCTCAGTTCGATTTTCTCTTCTTCCTCTCATTTTTAGCAGGATTCTTGGCAGTTATAGTGGCTGGTAAGGATATAAAAGCTGTACTCGGGCACTGTGGAAAAGAGTATTGTGATTAGGTGACAATGTCTGTGATGAGTTGAATAATTGTTCAGAAGTAATCTTTTCCTCCCCTTACCTTCCACTAGAGGGATATGTGTTCACTTCTTAACTTTGGGATTCATGATGTGACCTGCTTTGACCAATAGAGTGAGTCAGAAGTGGCAGTGTTCCGTGGAGACCAGGCATTAAAGAGAACTTACGTTTCTGCCTGCTCTTTTCTGCTTCTGCTCCCACCATGAGAAGAACATGACCAGCCTAGCATGCCGCCTCCAGGAGGAAGACAAGGACCTAGTCAGCTGACCTCCAGCTAAGCCACAAATGGATGAAAGGCTCAGCTGAGATCAGCAGAGATACCTAGCCCAGTTCAGATGACCTCCAGCAGACATGTGAGCTGAATAAATGCTCATTGTTTTCTACTAGTACTGAGTTTTGAGTCTTTATGTTGCATACCAATTGGTGACTAAAGAAAGAAAATCTGTGGCAATGTGCAGTATATTTGCCCTCACAAGTCTCAGATGTATGTGGAGACACGTATTTTCCTAAAGCAGGATGCTTATAGGAGATTGGTTAGAGTGATGATACCAGAGTACTAAAGGGTTTTGTGGATGACTCATTCCATATTCAGTAGTTTCCAAAGGATGAAAATAGACCTGAATATTTTAGAAAAGTTTTAAAAAAAAAAGGTGAAACTGTCTTGGATTTCAAATTATATTGAGTTAAAAATATGGACATTTAAGATAATAGATAATAAAAATAGCCAACACTTATTGAATTATTATTGTTTTCCAAAAACTGTTCTTAGTGCTTTACATGTACAGAACTTCTTTATTTTTCATGATAACTTTATGTGCTAGGTAGTATAGTTATTACCATTTAAAAGATTGGCAAACCAAGGCATATGCATTTCAAAAAACTTGTTCAGAGTCAACCTAGCAACAAGTGGGAGAAATGAGATTCATATTTGGTTATTTAGCCTCAGAGCTTATATTCCTAAGCACTATGCTGTACAATATTAAAAAACATACTATTTTAAGACCCCTTGAAGAATGACTCTTAAAGATGGAGGTTTCAATTTTTTTTTTTTAATAGCAAGAGAAAGAAAATGAATAAAGGCCCATTACTTTTCAGCGTTTCTGTTTTTTTCCTTTCCTTTGCCATCGCCACCCCCAACAGACACAGTTTGGAATGCTCTTGATCTGCATGTGCTGAGTTCACTTAAAATCAATGGAGACTGATATCCATATAAGATTTTTATCCATGCCATCTCTGTGAGCTCTAAAGTTGGGATTTCCTCAGGCAGTGAATGATAGGACACTTGGATAATGAGAGTTGAAGGTGAAAACTAGAAGCAAGTACTTTCTTGATGAAAGTAGCCATGAGTGCCTCAGCAACACAGCAAGACAGGAAAAGAAAAGTTGGAATACATTTACCATCTTTATAAGAGAAAGGAAGGTCTAGCAAAGTGTCCAGTAATGAGAAAGTATAAAGTCATTATTTGCCATGGGATTCTCTTAATCATGTGTGTTCACCAGTGTTTGCTCAATAGGAAAATTTGGGGGTGAACGATGCCTAGTTTGATGAGTGAGGCCAGGGTGGACCCAGTTTGTTTTTCCTTTCCCATCTGAAACATTGAAATCTTTGATTTTTAAGTGTCCTCAAGGCTGAAATGCATTATGTAAATTAATTCTCTACTTAGGGTGCTACCAAATAATCTGAACAATTGTTAAAACATCTGGATCTATTTT